GACCACCTTCAAGAGCACCTTTGATTCTATTTTTCCTTTGTCGGCCAACACTTCTTGTACCAAGTGGTGCACCAATTGCAAATGATAGGTCAAGTTTTGGCCACTGTTATCTATCAGGAAGTGGTTCTATGATTCTCTTATATGCATTCTTGAACCTTTCCACAGAGTAATAGTCATTCACAAAGTTTTCCATCATCACATCCCGGAAAGGTTGTTGTGTTATAAGAGCTAAAGCATGTTGACATGGCTTCCCAGTGTGTTGCCACTCTTCACATGTACACTCATGTAGGTAAGCTTTCACCACATGTCTTATATTAGCAGCTGACATATCAACTACTTGTGCAGCATAATTATCACCTTGTACAACATTCAAGTGACTAAGGCCCCTAGTCTGTGCTTTCAAGATATGTATAATAGCTGGTAGAATTTTACCTTGTAACCTTTGTCCAATCTTTCTCCTCTTGTGCCATAACACCATTATCATTTCCCTCAACTTGTCAGCAAGCTCACATACAGGCAAATCTTTGATAACTTTAATCCATTTATTGAAAACCTCAGCTACATTATTGGTGACATAATCACACTTGATAGCTAGATTAAATCCACTCCTAAACCACTTGAGCTTGTGATGTTGCTCCAACCACTCCTTTGTATCTAAATCTGATTTGACTATGGCTATGTGATGATGCTCATGCACTTCTTTCCTATATGATCTAGCTGCAGGATACATATTGTCGGTGTTTGGACGTTTTCTTTTGGCATAATTGTCCATAAGGTGTTTAAAGCACTCTCTTTGTTCTGTCATAGGGAATACATACTTAACAACATTTTCTAATCCTTTGCAAACATCACTACAAATAGCTAGTGGTTCAACATCCCCTTTAGCCTTATGCAATTGTGCAATCCACCACTGGGCTAGCTTTTGAACGGAGCTTTCACAGTCTCGCCCATCCACTTACGACCGGCTATTTCTAATTATCATCTGTTACTTTATCAATAAAACCATATGCAATAGGATACATCCAATTATGACCATCTACACTACATGTTGTTGCTAATTGACCATTCCACCTCCCACTTAGTGCAGTAGAGTCAATACTAAGGTAAGGCCTACATCCCTCCAGAAAACCCTCAATGCAAGGACCAAATGCACAAAAGAATCTATGAAAATAAGGTAGACCATATTTTTCCTCTACATCAATTTCAATGATACTACCTGGCATCCTCATCATTACCTCAGCTTTCCAACTATAAAGCATGCCAAAACTATCTTCCCAGCTGCCATACAATCCCTTGAAAGCCTTTTCCAATCCCTTCCAACCTATATTGTAGCCAATGACACACCTGTGATCATCCTGCAGCTTGATTTACATATCCTTCGGTCCCATATTAGGTGTCCTCTTAAGAATAGAAACTGCCTTGAAGCAACCCATTTGGCACTAGGAGTAGTTATCTTCCTCCTCATGCTAGATGTACAAGTGTGACCCTCAGTCCATGCAGTCACCTACAAGAAAAAAAAACAACACTAGTGAGATAAAAGATCACAAACCTTGAAAAATAATGTACAATAAAGAGAAGTTGAAGATAAATTATTACAATGATAGTTTTTCCACCCTTCACTTCTGATCGCCCATGCACATGCCAAGCACAATCATCAGCACCCTTACAATACCCGTCATATCTGTCTTTAGTAGTTTTAGCTACATGCAACTCAAATTCCTCATTCATAGCATATTGCGTTACAGCAAGCCTAAATTTATCCATGTCGGGAAATCTGGCACCTAGATTGAATTTGGGATTATCTGAGCCATAACCAATCACCCTCTCCTCCGGTATGAGATCATCAACAGGGATAACTTCACCATCATCATCAATTTCTATGTGGGGATATCCAGCAACACCGACCATACCCCTCTCCCTTTCTGCCCTCTCATCCTCAGCTCTAAAGCCCAAAATATCATACAACTGCTCATCACTAGCGATTTGTAGCCTCCCTTCCTCATCTAGTGTTTCAATAATTTGTAAACTATCCCAATCAACAACAGCAACAACCTCATCAATGGTGTTATTGATAATT